TAACCATGCAGGAACGTGTCCGTAATGGACGCTGCCGAATGATCCGTTAGAGACCATGCCACCGGCCACCATGACAGGTACTACCAGCAAGAATGTTTTGCCCCTCGAAGTGGTAGGAAAAGGCCCAAGGATGTCGAGGGCAACGAGCTCATTTACACGGAACACCCCAATCGATTGCAGCGGTGGTCGAGTCAGTCTCGGTGGGAGCTTCCGGCGGGCACATTCTACACATCCCTTGAGCACATTGTGAACCTACTCTGCCATCTCGGGCCAAAAGAAGTCCCACTTCAACGTAGACAACGTTTTCTTCACCCCTAGGTGCATCAATCGCACATGGGCAGCTCTCGTTACTCTACCCCGCAGAGCAGTTGGCACCATGATACAGTACCGTTGTACCTCCATATCCCAGCGCATAAGTAGGATCACGGGGGACATACCCCCTGGACCCTTCCTATCGCTTGGTGCATCAACACGGCACCATAGCTTTAGTAAGGAGGCGTCCTCTGCTTGGAGGCGCCCCCATTCCTCGTGTGCAAGACCAATAGGACTATCGTGCGCCACCCCCGGTATTGGTGGCGGAGCATCCACCGATGCTACCACAGCACCCGGCTCCCCTGCATCCACCTGCTTACAATGGCCGGCGTCCATCAAACATGTGCACTGGCTCTTCGGTGATAACCGTGACCGAGCGTCCGCGTTGCAGTGGCGCAAACCTTTCCTATAGGTGACTTCGAATGAAGATTTCCAACCATCGCGAGAGTTGCCAACAACTCGCGGCGCATAATAAAATAGCGCTGCTCTGCGGGGGACAGCACCCAGCTACTGTAAGCAACCACGCTCTCCACCCAGTTCTCCACCTGTGACAACACGGCGCCGATCCCGGTATCACTGGCGTCCGTATCCAATGTAAACGGCAAGGAGAAATCGGGGTATCGAAGGAGGGGTGCGTTCACGAGGCCATCACACAGCGCAACAAATGTGACCTTCTCCGTCCCCCACCGAAACCTCTGGCCCTATTCTGTGAGAGCGTGGAGCGGCTTCGTGATTGTCACAAACCTGGGAACGAAGCTGCGGTAATACCACACTAATCCCACAAAACTGCGGATCTCTCCCACCAACGTGGGGGTCGGCCACTTACGCACGCTAACAATGTGCCCCAGGTATCGAACAGATTTTTGCAAGATTTCTGCGGCATGAATTTCAAATTATCCGCCCGTATTTTAACAAATACCACACGCAACCACTGCAGATGTTCCTGGAACGTGCGGCCAAAGATAATCATATCGTCAAAATAGATCAGTCATGACTCCCATTGGAGCCCCGACAGTACCAACTCCATAAGTCGCTGGAACGTGGCCGGAGCTGAGTGAAGCCCCATCAGAAGCACGTTGAATTGAAACGGCCCTTGCGGTGTCCAGAATGCGGTTTTGGGTTTTGAACTTTCATCCAGGGGCAACTGCCAAAACCCTGACAATATATCCAGGGTGGAGAAAAACCGCGCCCCCGACTTTGCATCCAACGAATCGTCCATCCGTGAGAGCGGATACGCGTCCGCCACAGAGACTTTATTTAATTTCTGAAAGCCCACACAGAACTGCAAACTCCCGTCCTTTTTAACCAGGACAATGGGAGCACCCTACGTACTGGTTGACGGGGAGATTACTACGGTGGCCAACATCTTGTCAATCGCCTGATGAACGTACTCCTTTTCCTTCGGACTTAACCGAAATGAGTTCTGACAAATGGGAGCGGCACCACCCGTATCAATATGGTGACACATCAGGGATGCGGCCCACATCAAATTCACCCTTACTAAATACATCGGAGAATTCCCAAAGCAATGCCTGCAACTTGCGTCTCTGCTCCCACGACAAATCCGGATCACCCGTGCACAACGGATCCATCCACGAGTGATCCAACACCGCTTCCGATTCAACCGCGGCCACGACTCGAGTGGTTACATCATCTGTCGCGTGGGCCAACACCGTACCCGCCCGTATGACCTCGGTATCTAGCCCAGCATTCAATACTTGCAGGAAGGGCTCCTGATCTGCCCTCACTATCGTCTGAGCCCCTATCAAAGTGAGCCCACGAACCGCTCTATTCGAAGGGGTTAAAAGAACCCCACCCCCAGTGATTTTCTGCTCGAGCCGCTTCCGCAGCCTCAAGGGTACGAGCATCTATGCACCCGGGGAAACCCTAACAGTTTCATGCACCAGGGCCCAAACCACAGCGTAGCCATACACCACCCAGTAGGGGACTCCAAAAACCTCAACCGATGCCCCGACAGTAACTCCACACAACCCTGGTCAATTCAATTCCGGAGGGGCATCCTGTTTAAAAAATCTGTCTCAATAAACAAGGCACTGCCAACGAACTTGAAACCAACAATATTACCAATCCATGTTGATGCCTCAATTTGTCCCACAATGCCTAAACTTCCGCCATTAGCAGCAACACACGGACTATCTACAGGACTATGGCAACCCACCATCGACGGCAGAGTCCTAAAAACAAACTCGGAAACTATGGTGGCAGATGCCCCCGTATATATGAGCACCCGCATCTCAACACCCTGCACAAATCCACATACCATGGATGATCACGCTCCCGCCATCCTGACACGGTGTGCCAATGCGGTCCATTGCCTGGACCCCCGCGGCCAACCATCATGCACCGAAGCACCATCTTCGTACCCCATATCACTATGAGGGGCGATGGCGTGTGCACCCGACACCGACTGCAATGGGGATGCATGAGGTGGCTGTGTTGGCCGGGTGTGTGATGTATCGGGACCTGCCTTTGGACCCAGAGGAGCAGAGGCCGGCAGGGCGGAGGATGGTGAAGCCGGGAAAAACTGCCCCAAATCAGCACGGCAGCCCCTGGAGATGTGGCCCGATAGGCCACACCTGAAGCAGGTAACGGGGCCCCGCCATGGTGGAGGCAAGGTCCTCCCCCCCGCTGGTTCAGTCATCATCCCGCTCTGACTCTCCCCCGCTGTCTCCAACCAGCCGACGCGCAGACCCAAGGAGACTCTCAACATTCCTGGTTGCCCTCTTCTCCTGGAAATCCAGCCCCGGCCGCCACCCCGGCACGTCGTCGCAGGTTACAGTGGGCCTGGATGCATCGGGTTACCTGATTCGAGGACAGGTCGTCCTCCTCTGTGGCCGGCAAAAAATGTTAATTTCCTAAGCCAGCGCCAACAGTTTCTCTTGCACCAAAGAATCCAGTCCCGCCCGCTCCATCCTTGGGTACGCATCCTGGGCCAGCGACAGTAGTGTGCTGAGGAAAACGAGGGGTGTCTCTGTTTTCCCCCGATTCCGCATCACGAATTTCCGCCGTGCGTTGGACGGTGGGTCAAAAATTGCCGCCAACTGGGCATACGCTTGACGCAGCGTCAATCTGTCCGCCTCGGGAATGGAAAGGCTGCGTCGTCCAGCGCAGTGGGAAGAATACGCAGTGCCTCTGCATCGCACCACCCCACGAGCTCGCAAGTAGTGGCGAACTGCCGCCGGAAGGCCGCCCAATCACCCCCCGCAGCCGAAAATTATTTGAGAAACGGCAGCCGTTGTGCGAGGGAAGGTGCCCCCAGATGAGCTGTTAAATTCGGCGGGACCTGATTCCTGCCCTTGGTCGGCAGTGATGGTGGAGTTGCCCGCTTGCAGCCCTTCTTCAGCCGGTGGCGGCGCGGAATCGTCGTCCTTTGCCCGCTGCCCCGCCGGGATTGCCACTTCGCAGCCCCCCACCAGGGTCCCGGCTGCTGGGCCTGCCCAGGAACCCTCATCACCCGAGGATATGCCGGTGAGAGCCTTCCTCTTCACGGGTTTCGGCATAGTCTATTTCCCCCCCACAAGGATTCGAAAGGAAAAAAAGAAAATTCCTTCCAACCCTACAATATATATTAAAAAAATGTGTTAACACTCCTGACACCAAATGTAGTGTACTAATTCACAGACACGAGTAGGATGTACTCTCTCTTTTATTCCGGCCTTCACAGCCATAGGGGATAACGACATTCCGGGCTGGGATAGCCAACATGCTGCAAGACCCACAGCTTGACGAGCGTGAAGATGACGACGACGATGGCACGACGAGTTCTATTCCAGATCGCAGCAGCCCCGACTGTGAGTCGGAGCTCGCCTTTTATCTTGCCCAGCGTGGCCAGTTCCGCCCTGGGCCTCGCACCCCTCTGGATCCCCCAGAAGGCTCCGTGCCTTGCCCACTGGTCCAACTGGTAGAACGGGCTGCTACCCTTAATTCCTTTTAGATTTGAAGTATTTTATATTTTATACCTACGTGACTTTACCGAAAGAACCAAAGAGTATGGCTCTCTAATTCCAATGTCTACCAATCTCCCCGCGGCACGCGCTAAAGTGACTCATTCAATGTCACTACACGTGCATCGCCTTTTGACGTTCTCTGGTCTGACACTGGTGAGACAATGCCATAAAGAAGGCTGTCTCTGGTGTAGGCCAATTCGTTTTATGTTTGTTTGCATGTTCACCACAAGTACGTTGTGTGGTTCATGCAGACTTGATGCCTTGCAGTGTCTATTTGGGGTCTGAACATCTCAACAGCTGTTTTATTGCCAGAAAGGGTAAAACCTATTATATATTTTTTATGACACCTCATGAACGTCATTTACATTATCTGCAGATACGCTCAATGATTGCGCTGCGTGTCATTCAAATCATTGACTTGCAACGAGTCCATCAATGCCATCATTCCACACAGCCGCCGTGCAAAGTGCTCGTCACTGCCGGGATTTAATAGCCCGCCACGGCCACGTGCAGCTGGGCCCCAACCACTCGCTCGGGCCTCCGTGCGAACCCTTCGCAGCCAGGGGGCCTGCACTGTGGGACCCTGCACACACCCGAGAGGCGGAGGGAGGAGGAGGACGGAGGAGGAAGGAGGAGGAAGGAGGAGGGGACGTGCACGCGCTCGCCGCTGGGCTCGTATTTTTGTTCTCGCATCTCGCGATGCGGCAGGCCGCCCGTTACCTGGACGCGACGCCGTTCGCGTGCTCGCACTCGCGCTTGACCGTGACGCGGCCCGCCTGGGCGAGCAGCCATTCGTGCTGCTGGAGCTGCTGCTGCTGGGGCTGGAGCTGCTGCTGCTGGTGCTGGTGATGGGGTTGCTGGTGGTGCTGCTGCTGGTGGGTTGTTTTGGCGGCCGGGTCGTAGTCGGCCCCGGAGGAGGATGAGGACGCGGTCATTTCTGGCGTTTGTGCACGCGCACTCCCAAAGGAAGGGTCGAACAATGGGCTCTCGTCGCTGACGGCAGATAACGCTTCCTGTGGAAACAACAGGAAAGGGCGAGGACAATGGTGGCCCCGGCTGTGATGCTCGAGGTTGTGATTGTGCGCACGGTTAGGGGTGAAGGGGCAGGGACGGGGGGGGGCGCCCCCCACCCACCCCCGCCACTGTGGGAGCAGTGCCCAGAGCCAGTGCCGTAGCAAAGGTAGAATTTCTTTTGCACCGTACGTAGCCAACCGTGCGAATCCGAGGTGCGGGGGAAGGACAACAAACTAAACACAAAAATCAGTTCTAAATAAATTAGTTTTCAATCTGGGTGATCTAAAAGTGCTGAGCGCCAGCGGCTTCCTAATATCGGAAGTTAGGAGCGTTCCGGACGCCCGCAGAAGCGCATCCGAAAGCGTGCGATTCGGTGACCGGTTTTGTTCGATGGTTAACCAAAAGCCGCTGCTGCGAAGATGACGCGTGTAGATGGATTCTGCTCCTTGACGAGATCACCGAGGTATTGTGACTCATTACCGGCAAGCTCTCTGTGTGTGTAGTGAGTGCGTGTTTGTCGTCAGCCGAACATTCAGGGCGTTGCGACGGTTAATATGGGCTCTGGTTTTAAAAATAAATAATAACTTCAGCCCAAAGGCACACAACGTTGAGCGGTCAGCAGCAAACAGCACTCTCGGAGTTGGAATAAAGAAGAGTGAAAGGAAGAAGTATAACAACAGTGAACATGTTCATGGCATCCTGATTTGTATAACTATTGATGACAGTTTCACATAATTCACGCACACTTGGGTCAACTGTTGAGAAGTTCAAACAGTTTCTGGAGTCGTCAGATGTTGGTGAGTTATACTTCCAAAAATAGCCATATCTGTAACATCGCGAAACCAGCACGGCAATTGTGACTCAGTGGTCTGAAGGCAACATTCTGACAGAATCAGCAACATTTTTTTAATCACATTAAAGTGGTGGAAATTTCACATTTCTATGGCAGAGAGCAGGCTATCCATAAGGGCAACAACCACTGTTGACCTCTGAGCAGCTGGGCATTGACCCTGTGGCATGGAGAAGGGGAGCGGGTTGTGGGGTGGGAATCCCGGGGTCACAAAAACTCCGCCCACAGAGGGCCCTGGCCCTGCCCCCGCCACGGCATCCCACACCGTCAGTGCCGGGCTCGCTCTGGCGGCGGTCACGACGGAAATTTCCGCAGCCGCAACGGTTTTCCGTGACCCGCCAACTCTCCTCCTGTCACGTGGCCGTAGGATGCCGCCCTCACGGCCTTGCGATGTGGTGATGATGACAATAATAATAATAAAAGTACAGTAATACCCCCATATATACGTCTCCCACCTTTATCGTCGTTTCGCTAATACTTCGTCTCTTGGTTAATACCACGACCTGATCTTAGAATCAGAATGTGTATTTATATACTGGAGGAATCCGATGAGCTATGAAGCTCTTTTTCACAGATATCCAGTAGGGGCAGGTCTGATGCTTACAACAACAAACAATACAAAAACCCGACAGGAGTGGAAAGTATAGGAAAGGTAAACAACTCAAAAATATACAAACAAAACTACTTTATTTTTTGTATTTTACCAACCCACGCTTACGTCGCTGACAGCATCGTTCGTTCTTTCTCGTTACCCGTCGCTTCTCAGCCTCTCGCCGCCACCACCTACCTCTTCACTTAGCACGCGGGGTCTCACCTCTTCACTTAGCACGTGGGGTCTCACCTCTTCACTTAGCACGTGGGGCTCACCTCTTCACTTAGCACGCGGAGGCTCACCTCTTCACTTAGCACGTGGGGTCTCACCTCTTCACTTAGCACGCGGAGTCTCACCTCTTCACTTAGCACGCGGGGTCTCACCTCTTCACTTAGCACACGGAGTCTCACCTCTTCACTTAGCACGTGGGGTCTCACCTCTTCACTTAGCACGCGGGGTCTCACCTCTTCACTTAGCACGTGGGGTCTCACCTCTTCACTTAGCACGCGGGGTCTCACCTCTTCACTTTGCACGCGGGTCTCACCTCTTCACTTAGCACGCAGAGTCTCACCTCTTCACTTAGCACGCGGGGTCTCACCTCTTCACTTAGCACGCGGGGTCTCACCTCTTCACTTAGCACGCGGGGTCTCACCTCTTCACTTAGCACGTGGGGTCTCACCTCTTCACTTAGCACGCGGGGTCTCACCTCTTCACTTAGCACGCGGGGTCTCACCTCTTCACTTAGCACGCGGGGTCTCACCTCTTCACTTAGCACGTGGGGTCTCACCTCTTCACGTAGCACGCGGGGTCTCACCTCTTCACCCGCCCGATCGCGGTGTGGTCAGCACCTGCGCCCCCCCCCCCCGCCCCCCCCCCCCCAGTTCCGAGCACCTCGCGATCCACGAGCCGTGGCATCTCTGTGTGAGTCCTATAGGTCTTTATGAGTGCATGGGTCTCTGTATAAGTCCTATAGGTCTCTATGAGTGCATGGGTCTCTGTATAAGTCTATAGGTCTCTATGAGTACATGGGTCTCTGTGTGAGCCCTATAGGTCTCTATGAGTGCATGGGTCTCTGTGTAAGTCTATAGGTCTCTATGAGTGCATGGGTCTCTGTATAAGTCGTATCGGTCTCTATGAGTGCAAGGATCTCTGTATAAGTCCTATAGGTATCTATGAGTGCATGGGTCTCTGTATAAGTCAATAGGTCTCTATGAGTGCATGGGTCTCTGTGTGAGTCCTATAGGTCTCTATGAGTGCATGGGTCTCTGTGTGAGTCCTATAGATCTCTATGAGTGCATGGGTCTCTGTATAAGTCTATAGGTCTCTATGAGTGCATGGGTCTCTGTTTAAGTCATATAGGTATCTATGAGTGCATGGGTCTCTGTATAAGTCCTATAGGTCTCTATGAGTACATGGGTCTCTGTGTGAGCCCTATAGGTCTCTATGAGTGCATGGGTCTCTGTGTAAGTCTATAGGTCTCTATGAGTGCATGGGTCTCTGTATAAGTCCTATAGGTCTCTATGAGTACATGGGTCTCTGTGTGAGTCCTTTTGGTCTCTATGAGTGCATGGGTCTCTGTATAAGTCAATAGGTCTCTATGAGTGCATGGGTCTCTGTGTGAGTCCTATAGGTCTCTATGAGTGCATGGGTCTCTGTGTGAGTCCTATAGATCTCTATGAGTGCATGGGTCTCTGTATAAGTCTATAGGTCTCTATGAGTGCATGGGTCTCTGTATAAGTCATATAGGTATCTATGAGTGCATGGGTCTCTGTATAAGTCCTATAGGTCTCTATGAGTGCATGGGTCTCTGTATATGTCTATAGGTCTCTATGAGTGCATGGGTCTCTGTATAAGTCATATAGGTCTCTATGAGTGCATGGGTCTCTGTATAAGTCCTATAGGTCTCTATGAGTGCATGGGTCTCTGTTTAAGTCTATAGGTCTCTATGAGTGCATGGGTCCCTGTGTGAGTCCTATAGGTCTCTATGAGTGCATGGGTCTCTGTATAAGTTAATCGGTCTCTATGAGTGCATGGGTCTCTGTATAAGTCCTATAGGTCTCTATGAGTGCATGGGACTCTGTATAAGTCCTATAGGTATCTAAGAGTGCATGGGTCTCTGTATAAGTCCTATACGTCTCTATGAGTGCATGGGTCTCTGTTTAAGTATATAGGTCTCTGAGTCTGAGTGTCTGTGTGAGTCTATGCGTTTCTGTGTGAACCTAATGGTCTCTGTGTGAGTCTGTGGATCTCTGTGTGAGTCTATGGGTCTTCATGTGAGTCTATATTTCTCTTTGTGAGCCAACGGGTCTTTGTGTAAGTCAGCGAGTCTTTGTGTGAGTCTCTGGGTCTTTGTGTGAGTCTGTGGGGTTTTGTGGGAGTCTACGGGTCTCTACGTGAGTTTATGGGTGTCTTTGTGAGTCAGTGGGTCTCTGTGTGAGTATATGGGTTTTTGTGTGAGTCTACGGGTCTCTACGTGAGTTTATGGGTCTCTGTGTGAGTCAGTGGGTCTCTGTGTGAGTATATGGGTCTTTGTGTAAGTCAGTGGGTCTCTATGTCAGTCAGTGGGTCTCTATGTGAGTCAGTGGGTCTCTATAACGTTAGACGAATGTGTGATGCTCATGTCCGTATTGTGGGAATTTAGGTATCTCGACTGCACGCTTCCCTTGAGAAGTGAAGAGAGACCGGGTTTAATTTCTCACTCCATATTTTCCGGAATGCTGAGAGGCTGCCTTGGGGTCGGGATTATCGGCGTAAGGCACTACAACTATACTGCACGGCACGCCTGCCCACAACAATGCTATGCACATATTTACAAACATTCCGCACAACCCTTGCCTTCCTTGCAAGTCAGTCCCTGCACATAATATAAAACAATATGTTTACGCATCCCATCAACCGCACGGCCTTGTGGGAGTGAGTGCATAATTCCAACAGCAGCGGTTCACACACAAGCACACCTTGGGCCGGTTTTGACATTCAGAGTCTCATCAGCAGGGATAGGCTTTTGCTCGAAACCAAACGTTGCAAACACTCGATGCGTGGACTCGACGCGGGTTGCCTCCACCGCTTGTATCGCGAGGACACGGTCAGGCGAAGAGGCGGCTGTGGCGCGTGCCGAGAATTCTAGACCACTGCCGGAGCACCGTTCCCGATTGGGCTGCTCCGGCTGACGTGGCAATGGAGAGGCTGGAGATGGTCTCGGCGAGGCCCTGCTGCGGAATGAACCCGCAGTGGCAACGGAGAGGCTTGGGTTGGTCTCGACGGAGCCCTGCAGCGGAATGTTTGGATGCCTGCCGTCCCGAGTAATTCGGCATGAGTCAGAAAAGTAGAAATGAAAACAACGGCGTTCTCGTGAGTAATGCTCAAATTCCACCACATCGGTTGGATCGCTCCTGGATTCAGCGTTGACTTTGGGTTAGGCCATATAATGAATACCCTCTACCACCCGACATGGGCGAATATCGTAACAACCGAGCGTGGAAAACTGCAGACTGCAGTTGGACCCCGAGTCCAGGGGTCAGCAACCTGCGGCTCCGGAGCCGCATGCGGCGGCTCTT